ATACAACCCTTTTTTAACAGCACAACATTTGAAAATATTATTTCTTTTATAAATAATAACTAATTTTAATTAATATTTTATATATTTTAAAAAATTTTAATTAATAATTTATATATTTTTTGAATAGAAAAAGAAAAAAAATGATAACAGCACAACCAGCATGGTACGGTACTCCAAATAAAGCCTAGGAAAGAAATTAGGAATTGGAAATGAGGTCAAACACCCATATGTTATGGCCATTTAGGTATCTTAACACTATTTAAATGAGAGTTGATGAATGGTGGGAATGTCAAAAACCTACAAAGTGTGTCCAATATGTCCATTATCTTTTTGAAGGTCCAAGCTATATAATATTTTTAGGTTTTATATTGATTTTAATTTGTATATAGAAGTGATGCTTTTGTTCATAGAATATCAACTACAGTTTTAGACCCTCCAATAGCTTGTAAAGGCATCTTGTTTCTGAGAAAGCAATGGACGGTAATAGAAATGGTTCCATTTTTTGGTGATTAACAATTTCCAGTTGCAGAAGAATATGATTATAAGCAGATTGGTGTGCTGAAAATTCTGTCCTTGAGTGGTGGTTTCTAGTGATTTTAAGTGCATTTCCAGCGCAGGCGACTGGACTAGATATGATTAATTATTATATGCAAGATGTCGTTTTTTTTTAAAAAAAAAAAAATAGATCATGCTTGGTTACAACTTTATTTCCTTGAAAAATGCTGGACTTAGTTTTTACCATTGTAAGGACAGGGACAGCACTCGAAACCCAGAAGAGTTAAGTTGACAGTTTAAGTTATATTCTCCTACTTTGAGCTGATTCTGATAGTGACCAGGGAATGTGGTGATAAGCTGTGTTGGACGGACTATATAGCAAAATGTGTGATTCCCCGTCCTAGTGGGAAAAATGACCGTAGTGAAGAGTGTACCACTTGTTCCTTTCAAGGATGTCAAATCACACGTTGAGAAAGTTATAGCCAATCAATGGATGAATATTTGATGAAAGGAATTATTCTTAATCCTTTAGCGTGTGGCGAAAGAGATTAGTCTCTAGCTAGCACAAACTCGTAACATGATGTGATAAAGACACCACTTTAAACGTAAAAAGCTTAAAACTTATCACATTTAAGTTTTTAAATTATTAATGTAGCATGTATACGACACTATTAGTATGAGTGAATTAACTTTGATCGTTGAAAGAAGAGGAAATTCGAACATAAAACTTCTTAGAACATGGTTTTTTAATCATTGGACAAATGTTTGATAGATGATTCCGCGTGAGTATTTAGAAAAGCTGTCAAAGTTGCTCCACTTGGGGTTGGATGGAGAAGCAGTGCTTTCTATCTAAAATTCTTTGGTGTCGTCTTCCCATGATGAGGGTTCCCTTAATTTTTAAAGTTCATCAACTTGAGTGCCAATCATTCAAAAATAAATGTGCCAAGGAAAGAGAGGAATTAATTCACCTTTTCTATGCATTGCACGCTGACAACTCTCCCCAGAGATGGAAAGAACATAACAGCTGGTACCAACCACCAACCTCTGCTAAGGTAGTGGATACCCTCGTGATCAAGTTCTTTTTCTTTTTCCAATCAAAATTTACCGTACCAAAAGTAGAGATTCAACTTTGTGGACTGGATGTAACGTGATGACAATGAACTAATATCTTTTCTCTTCTTGGGCATATAACTATTAAATGGGAACAACTCTTGCAAGATCTGTTTTTATTTAATGATTTAAATTATATATTTTAATATAATTCATACTACAAAATATATTTTTGTATGTTAAAAGTGAAAAAAAGGTGCGGGAAGTCAATAGACCATAGAATTGTGACACATTGAAGATCATGGATTGTTCCTGTGTCAATTATTTAGCTTGCACATCAAGATGATAATGCAATTTGCATGCAAGCTTCCATTATTAGTAGAGTCTTCAATGATTGTGATATGAAATTATGAAGGAGTTTCATGTTATAAGATCACGCTGAAGGGATTTTCAGCAATGGGAAGTCTTTTTGGTGGAAGTGAATGTAGCGATGGGAAAGTTTTATTATACTATTCATGAAGATGAGAAATGGAGGTGGCAATGAATCGGAATCCTCCAAATTAAGTACCATGAATTCCCACCAATATAATAGGGCCTTCTTCAACCTAATGGTGGGTGGCTCCATACTCTGCATCCCACACATTGGCTCAAATGATCCGTGAATTATGGTTCCATTAACATTTCTTTCGACCAATTATGTATGATTTATGATCCCCAAACAAAATCCACGGAAAATGGGTCTCATCAAACGTGACTTCAGAGGTTGGTATAGACATTGATGGATTCAGCAGATAAGTTTACCGTCACATACCTAGAGTAACAAATTCTTTTAAGATGGCTTTATCCTAAAAACATTTGAAGTCTTTCACTCACCCTTAAATTCTTAATCTCAAGTGATAGAGGAAACTAATACTTTTTGATATTTGAGAGGTGAGAGGCGGGGATTCTAGGAACTGGGATATGTTTAAGGGAGAGGTTGGGATTTTGAGGACAATAATACACCAAACTACTAATTAATAAGCAGAAAATAGAGCAAAATTAGTTCTTTTCTACTACAGAACTGTAAGGTGCTCCATTTACTCGGAGAGCGAGTGCCACTTTTCTAGTGGAGTTGATATCCTTCCTACCCTTCTGAGTTCATTATGTACAAGATCAGTGGGAATATTGAGATGTGAGAACATCTATGGTCAGAGCAACTAGAAAAAGGACAAATTATGATGGAGAGGTAGCAGTTTTGGTAGGGTGTCAAGGGAGTCTATGCAATCCTTCAACAGTTGACATTGGCATCATGTAAAGGCCCCTACTCTCCAACAGCTGAGTTGCTGCAGATGGATTTATCTCCAGCAAATTGCCCATCATATCTTCAAGAGATTCATTCATCATCTGTTCTTGGAGAATATAGTGACCATATCCCTGCAAATCATTTAGCACACATGTTCCTTGATTAACCCAAAATGAATGCACATGCATTAACTTGTTATCAATGTAGTAGATAGGGTTTAATACCTCCAGAAAAATGAAAGGATCAGAAGTTGGTTCACCCCCCAATCTGCTTCGACTCAATTCCTGCGCAATGTTTATTTAATGCCCTTGTGCCAATTTTTATGAATGATGCATTGATCCACAGAAGAAAAAAAAGTTGCCTTCTAAAGCTTGGAATGTCAGATATCAATACAATTGGACACCACAGTACTCCAGATCAACTTCATGAATCCTTCACTCATGAATCCTCCCTGTCTTTGGATTAAGCCAAAGAATCCTCTGTGTGTGTGTGCGCGCGTGTGTATGTAGGGTAACAGCATGGTCTGTCCCCGTCTTTGGATTAAGCTAAAGAATCCTCTCTGTGTGTGTGCGTGTGTGTGTGTGTGTAATGTAGGGTAACAGCATGTTCTGAACTGAAAGGTGCATGAAAATTTGTTTAAAATTATGAACATGTTAGCACCATAGTTGCAGTATTAACCCATTGTTAGATATCTAAGTATCACTACAGCCAGTGGAAATAACAAAACATGTGCTCCTCCAAAGGAAAATCATTGTGTCAAAAATATTGTCAGGAACAACCACTACCTTCATTTGCAGTTGCAGAAACTTGATGTAGTCAATAATGTCAGTCAGTACAGATGCTTGACTACCCTGCAATTTAAATGAGATGATGATGAGATTTATGGCAAATCATAATAGTTTCGGCAAACTTAAAATTCACATCCAAAACCGTGGCAGAGGTCTTTCATTCACTATGTTGCCATATGGAACAAAGTAGCTGAATTATAAGAAACTGTTAATTCCCAATTCTATTGCATGCATCTTCAGAGCACATTTATCAATTAGACTTCATTCATGATGCCAACTTGCCTTGCTGATAAATGGCTGCCTTACATTATCCAACATTTATGCTTTATCTCACTTTAGATGTATAATATACTTATAGAGGGTGGGCATTGCCTCAAACATTTTCCCAATTCCAAGTTAGTAATTATATCGTTCATAACTATTTCCAATGAAACATTATAGCTTTTTAAGTTCTCAAATAATACTTGAATTCAATATCCTCTTTCATTTGGAAATGGAACAATTCAGTATCATCCATAAACATAGAAATGTCAAACGGTTATCTTAGCCATTTAAAACATTTTTGTTCATTGAACCTTCTGTCTATTCATGCACTTTGTGACAATAGTTTATAGGGCAAAGGAGTAAAGGAAAAATATGCAATCAAAAGTAAATCAGAAAGAGAAATTTCAGAATACAGGCGGTGGCAGAGTGTATATGACCGTAACCTGGCTGAAAGCTTACATAAGTCAACATTAAATAAATAAACTGTTACACTACCTCCACAGGATAAGGAAGCAGTTCTTGCAGTGTTTTGAGTCTTTCGACAAAACGTAACCTTCGTTGCTGAAATTAAAAAGATAAAAGGAATTAGATTAAGAGGAACTCACCCCTAACGTTTAAGAATCAGCCACAGTATATATAAAGATTGCCAAGTAGACTATATATATGTTCCAAATGGATTAAATCTGTAAATGGATCATTTTCAGATTTACAGTAGCGGCATTATTATGTCAGTATCAGTAATTAGTAGAGGTATTTCACTTACACGATCATTTACAGTAGCTCTTCGACTCGATGTACTGGTATGTGGTAAGGACAAGGCTGGTGCAGAAGTGATTTCTTTTGAAGGAACTTGAAAAGCATTGCAAATGTCATTGACTGGTTCTTGCACAAACAAAGTTTCATTTCGCTGCAATAAATTGTTGTCATTTATTACTATTCTTACTAGAGTTTTAAATGATTAAGAGTCTCTTTTGCTGCAAAAAAACTCATCTAAAGCATCACAGTTGGGGGACAAAGAAAGAACTGTAAGAAGCTGACCGCACCTGGGTAGGATAGTCAGAGCTTGTAAACTGTCTCCTAGCTTCTCCTCCATTATCTGTCTTCAGAAATGCAGTCTGTCAACCACAAACATTTTTAAACCATCGAATTAGCATAGATATTTATCAGATGCTCAATAGAATGAGCAAAGTGGCAAATAATTTTTAATGGTCTAGTTTTTTCCAAACTTACTAAAGCTTCATAACCGTTGCTGGCAGGTAACTCTGACTTTTCCATACCAATGTCGACACTGTAACAATTATCCGCCCTAAAACTGAAAGGTTTTCCTTCATCATGGTGCAATACTTCTCTTTGAATTCCAGAGGTGCCACCAATGTCATGACTGCCACCAACAGTCAAACCAATGCTTTCCAACACCTCAGCAGTCGGAGCATCTTCATTATTTTCCTTAAGAAATTCAACATAACCGCGAGGAGCATTTGGACACTGAATCCACTCAAAGGATGAACCAGCACCATGCTGGTTCTCATTGCTTCCAGAAGCCATAACAAAGAGTGGCTTCACATAATCTCCATAATCAAAACAAAAATCATTGTTTCTCTGACTAGAACTCAGAGGCATCAAAGGATTTTGGTAGCCACGTTCTCCATCCATGGTTAATTTAACTAATAAAAAATGTAATGAATATTAAAATAAACATACTAAAAAAAAAACCAAACAGGAAGCTTATCAGTGAAACTGCAACACGAAAAACATGGAGGAAAACAATGTTTAGAGTTGCAGCCAATCAGAAAATTGTAACAGAAGAAACGATGTAGTCAATGTTTATTCAATCCGACAAGAAGGTTTTGTAGCCTGTATGTCAAAAACTATTCTGCATGTTATAATGTAGGAAACTTGCACAATTTTAAGAAATGCTCTATAACAAAACCAACATGAATTTAACATTGCAATTATGAAATTATGCACCCGAACCAAGTAGATCTAAAAATTACTCAAGTACAGTAAACGATAATCCAAATTGTCAAGAATATTACGAGATATTCAAAAAAATATATATATATCAGGTGGAAAAAGGAAAAATAGTACAGAAACTCAAAACCAAAACAGAACATCGTCACTAAACACAGAACCTTAACTTTTTTCTTTAGAAAAAAAAAAAAGAAAAAAAAAAGAATCATATTCTTCATCTGATTTCAAACTTGTTTAAGCAAGAAATGAACAGAACACCGATTCAAACGTGAAACATTCATAGAAGGAAAAATGCAGTTTGCAAAACGGAGTGGACATTAGAAACCGGAATCTAGAGAAAAAAAAAATGTGAACTTTAAACATCACAAAATACGATATAAAGCAATCATATTCGGAAGTTGAAGATTACTTACTCTGGTCTTCAAGTTACCACCGGCGGCGATGTTGGTTGTAACTCAGGCAGCTGGACACATCAAGAGATTGTCTAGGGTTTGGGGAAGAATGAAGAGTGTGAGGGAAGATAAGAAGCCAAAAAGCACAGCGGGGAAGGAAATGCGCGCGCTCTCTGCCATTTTCTGTAGTGGGATTGGTACGTACATTTGTACGTAGTAACAGACTGTTTCTTCGAAAAGTCTGTTTTGCCCCTATACAGTCTGAGAAATGTCCTTCCCCTCCCCCTCCTTCCTTCCTCATACCAAACGTAATAAAATGAGAAGGATTTATTTTATAAGTTTTGTATATGAATAATATTTATCTGTTTTATTTTTTAAATAAATATTATGAAA